CAAATCAATGATGTTATCGAAGTCTTGCCCCGGACGTACTTCTTGTAGGTCTTTCCAAGGGTCTCATTCACATTCCATTTCAAAGTGAATCGGCCCACTGCATGAGCGTTGTCCCTCACCCGGGCTTTGATGTTTGGGAACAAACGGAATGCCTTGGAAGTTGCGGTAGGAGCCGCTTTGCCTGCCAAAAGGCGAACGGCCTTCGTCTCATCTGCCGCTGCATCGCTGCCAACAAACAAGACGCTCTTCCGGAAGGCTTGGTACAACGGCCGTTTCAAAGTAGGCTTTGGCCCTGTCCAACCTCGGGGTGGCTTCCAGTACTTGATGAAGAACCTCTTAGTTCCCTTGCCAACTGCTGATGCCAAATCAGAAGCTCCCGCCCCCCAGTCATTGACCAAAGCCAAAAGCCCTGAAACACTGGCATCCCCGCCGCCCGTGACTTTCAAAGAGCTAAAGAAACGGACGGAGAGAACCTGTCCCTGAGCGTCTTGGCAGACTGTAGACGATGCGACTTGGGCAAGTTGGCCGTGCACAGACATCTTGAACGCCTCAGCCAGGCACCATGACAGTTTCCATGCTTTCTCCTTGCCAGACGACCTGAATGATTTCCTTTTTGCCCTGTCATCAAGGCAATCCAAAAAGTCTTGGATTGGGGGTGCCTGAACGGACGACGTTTTCATAGGCCCTTTGCCTTGGTGCAATCCGGTCCTTTCGTGTCTCAGCAATGAAGTCAAATTTCCTCCACCCACGGTTTTTTGAAAGAGGAACTTCTGACAGGTTTTGCAAAACGGACGTTCTGAACCGCCATCCTGCTGCTTCAACACTAGCCAGTCAAATTTTCTCAGCCATGAAGTCCGCCAAAAGGCGGCGGCCACGGATTCGGATGGGTTGGGGACAACAACTGGCGTGGTCATGGCCTTCGAATTAATGAAACTGAAAGCCAAAATGAAGGCACATAAAACTGAAATAGACTTGCTCAGACTTCCATAAGCAGGGATTGTGAGTTCCTGGCAACTCTCCAGGGCCCTGGCCAAGAAGAAGTCAGCTGGACCTGACCAGGGCAACTGCTCAACCGTACCAAATTAAAAAATGATGATCCATTGCCATGACATCTGACATGAGTCATCATTGAATGCATCGAAATTGAAATCCAGTCCGTTGCCATCATTTTTACGCTCAAGAACAGCCAGTTCAACAGTGCAGGACAAAGTGAATGAATTCAATGGCGGTCAGACATGACAAAATCTGATGAGCATGCAGTGAACGACGTGAGCTCCATCCACTACGATCAATCTCTTATCCGGTCAGCATGACAAAAGTGAAGGGCATGCAGGCTGCAAAGTTGCCATCATTTTGAACCACACCAACGGCCGTTTTCTGGCTAGGGATCCGGTTGGTTCTCCCTGCGTGTGATCACGTCCCGTAGGTCATTGCCTGGGACAGTTCAACATCAGCAAAGTTTAAATAATATCTGGCCCTGACATTCAAATAAATGAGTACGGCAATGACTGACTGTTTGTTACATGTTTGGCTCCAAGTTGCGAATGCAGGTCATGATGAAATCGTCGAAGGGCGAGACCCCTTGCTTGGTCGCAGTGAAAACGCGCGTTTCCCTTCCACTGAACGCGCGTTGCATCTTGAGCCTTGGATTGCATTTTTTGTAGTGAACTGAACGGACGTCCATCTCTTGACAAAATAAGTCAAGACAGAGATTATTATTATGATTCTTGATTTAAAAGTTTAAAATGGTGGTCAGTTGCCCAGGCGCGCCAACCTCGCTTGCCTGAGGCGTGACGCCTGTCCCAGCATCGCAAATGCAGAAACGGTCGAAGGCAATAGGTTGCAGTCAACCAGCAGCTCCCTCCTGACAAAGCATTGAAAGGATTGAAGTTACTCACAAAAGGAATGACAGAAAGTAAGAAGACCGGAGACAGAAACAATGAGGGTTCAAGCAATAATAAACTTGTTCTGAACGGACGTCTGGGACATGCACAGTGCAACTGAGTCACATGACCGCGTCCTTGGTTGACTCACGGATCATAAAATTAAATGTCAAAATTGCTTTCAAAAACAATCACCTCATCATTCAAATCCAAGCCACTTTTTCGCCAGCAAGGGCCTGCTCCAACGGCGTGCCCTGCCCCTCTGTCAAGTTTGTCAGGTTGAAAGGCACCGGAACGGCCGTATCCGAGTACCTAACTGGCTCTGGGGCAGGAGCAGCCATCGGAACGGGCGTCGCATCAGGCTCAGCTGGGGCCTTGTTGAACAGCGACGTCCTAGGCGACCTGGAACGCATCTCAGCTCGAGGGCCAACGGCAAGAGCAACGCGAGCACGGCTCTCAGCCAGCTTTTGCTCGTAGTATGGTCGATGCACGTCACCGGGCTTTAAGAAGTTGAATCTGCTAGAATCAGACTGTTCCCGCAAGATTCGATCTTCGTACCCTTCGCCACCTTTTGCAACCAGCAATGCGGTCTTTTCGATAATTCCGCGATGGGATTCTGAAGGCACAATCACACTCGGAGATGACGATGAAGCAGCTGTAGCCTCTCCAGCCTCGGGCTCCTCTTCAGTTGTTGACTGGATTGTGGAGAGAGGCTGTTTTTAAAGTTTTTTGTGCGATTTGCTTCCTTGCTGCTTCGAAAATTACCTACAAGCAATTCCTTACACAGAAAAAATAGGATTCTTATCCAAAGTGTATCTAATAAATAGGGGTTTGTCTTGAAAAAATGCAGATCATGCTTCCATGTTTGTAGTCGTAGTGCCTCAGAAACTGCATCTTAAAAAAAAATATATATATATATATTGGAAAGATGTGTGCATATTACAGATTAAATTAATCAAATTGTAATATTTCATACTTGATAATTCAAAATGCAAAAAATGGTGCGATTCAAAGTGGAAGCAGTTCAACTTCATTGAGTGGCAGCTGACAATCATGTGATTCAAAGCCGACAAAGCAGTTTAACTTCACTTACTGGCAGCTGGCCAGCCCCCATCTGATCATTGAGCCCTTTGCGACTCTGCAGTCTGCAGTCTCAAGTTTGTTGGTGGCTTGCCCCCTGCTTTTGGAAATCCCCCGGCAGCTGAACCATGGGATCTTGCATGTCTTGCTGGTCCTGGTGTGCAAAGGAGCAGCCGCTTCCTGACAGGTTGTGGGTTGCCCGCGACGGCGTTTCTTATCATATCAGCAATGACTGCCAACACATTGTGAGAAACCCGGCTGATGAAATTTGGACCAGGACCAGGCAAGGAAGTGACAACGTGACTACGTGGCATTTGGACTGTGCCGCCCAATCCAGAAGGCTCACTTCTGGGATGGGGCAAGCCACCAGATCCCTTACCCTTATGCTTCGCTGCATCGCCCTTGGGACGGCGACCCTGGCTTCCCTTGCCAGCACCTGGTTTCTCCATGGTCGGAGCAGCTAAGCGGCTAAGTTGAAGTTGAAGAAGTGATGATCTGTGACTGCTTATTTTCATTTAAGTACAGGAAAAGAAATTGTTGCTGGAAACTTGTAGTTGCTGCTGCTGTCGGTTTCATTTTCTTGTCTGTGTGTCATTGTTACTACACCCTGCAGTCAAACCTGAGGTCCGGTCCGGTTTGAGCCTCACCGCGTAGCCAGTTCCAGGTCTGAAGGCCCAACTTGTAACCCAAATCTTAGCAACTCTCGTGTATGCACCAGTGACTCAGACAGTGGCTGGTGGCTAGTTACTTGCACTTACTATGGCGTTTCAGACAGTCCGCGGCTGCAATTTTTCTTTCCGCGGATCGAAATTTCATTGAAACAGCTAATTACAAGCGGGATTGTGGAGAGAAGCTGAAAGAGAATGTCCAAAAAAAACTATTGATTTTTAATTTTTAATGTAAATGCAAAAATATCAAACCGGGGCAAGCCACAAGGCCCATGACCTATAGCGCTACTGGGGGGCAGCGTCATGCAAACAAATTAATGATTAGGAGGGGCAAGCCACCATCCCGCTCTCAATCCTGAATTTTACGCACCAAATTAATGAAGAAATTATGTGGTGACTTGACAGAAAACTTACGAAATTGCAGTGTTATGAATTGATTACTGTTATAAATGCTCGAATCAGCGACCACATAAACCATGCTTAGCAAATTCAACTTTACATAAAAAATCAGCTGCGTTTGTTCTGGTCAAGAACTTGCAGCATGGACCAGTTGCGGGCTGGCCGGTATCACCAAGGACTGACAGAATTTGTTTGCTTTCTTTCTGGGTGACAAAAGCGACAAGCTCGGCAGACGGTCTGTGGCGAAGTTGCGCTTTCTGCAAGCATTGAAGCATGCGGCCAGTGATAGCTGCACACAAGTGAGGGTTTTCTTCTTGAAAACCGCTGCTGATGTAAACAGTCCTGCGGATGCTGACCGCACAGCAATACTTCACAGCTGGTCCCTCGCCATGACTAAACGCTTGAGGGCTGAGGAGCAAACCTCCGGAAAGGAATGCGTGCCACAAAGGTTCTTCAGCAGGATCTGTGACATCTGGAACAACAAACGCGTCCGCACGCAGAAGGGAAGATTCGTATTTTGCACCCAACTTGTCCATGTGCTGGTCCAGCACAAGGCTTGGAGCGGCTTGGATTGTTGAAATAAAAACTTTCTTGCCACTGCACAAAGAAAAATTGATGCCGCAGCTTTCTCTTTTTTCTTTGTGTCTCGGATTTTTTTGGCCAAGTAGCTTCTCACTTTCTGACTTCTCGCAGCTTTGAAGTCCTCCACGGCTTGCTCATGGTCTGGACCTATTCATTGAGTTTTTCTTCCGTTGTAAGCCCATTGTGAGCAGCTGCTTCCAAAGCACGTTCTTTACGTCTTTTTTTTGGTAACTGCGTTTCTTTCTCATGTTCTTGTGTCCAATGCTCGTTTTCGTGGACCAAAAATCCTGGTGTCGGGTCATCTCCGCATTTTTTCACTTCCTGCGCCACTGCAGCAGCACGTTGCCTCCGAAAAGCCTTAGTAAGCAAAATCTTTGTTCAAAATGATCTAAATTTTGAGTGTTGAGCACATGAAACTAGTTTTGAGACAAGGCGCTTGCCATGTGCCTTCTCTGGCCCTTTTCTTCCACCCACGCTGCGCTGCTACAGATCTTAAGACTGAGTCTTTGGAACTTGCTGCTTTCACTGTCCCAAAAAGTTGAGACCAAATCACCGCAGCAGCCTTTGCCAACTCCTGGTCTTGAGTTTCGGTCCAATTTTGTGTGGTCAAGAGGAAAATTTCATCCCTCAGGTTCACTTCGGTCATGTTTCCTTTGCTTTTTGTCAATGTTCGGACACCTGCAAAGTTTTGCTCCACACCCGAACTGGAGCAGCCCCAGCCAATAGCTCTACTCAGAGCCTGCCTGAGTTCCTCTTGGGGGTGGTGCTGGAGATTTCGCTTGTCCTCCAGAACTGTATCCAAAGCTGCTTTCCAGGCCAGCACTGGTTCGATGTCTGCAGCGGATTCAAACTTGTGCTGAGCTACAGGGTGGTAGTCTGCAAACTGGCTTGACAACGCGCACTCATCCAAGGACAAAACGTTTGACACTTTGTGGATCTTATCGCTAACGTCTCGTGCTTCAGTCCTGTGGTCGTCTCTTCTGTGCACTTGGTCATTCAACGATTCCAAATGGAAAATGGACATAGACTGCAAAATCTCAAACGCTGGAAACTCCGTTGCGACCACTTCCTGCGCTAGCTGCACCCAGGAAGCAAAGCGTTTCAAGCATCGGTAAACGACCGTCGCCATCTGCGGCTGGGGCAAGCCACCGAGCCGTTTGGCCACTTTGTCAATGTATATCGTCCGTGGCTTCTGCAATTGGTCCAAAAGGTGGGCTGTGTAGCCAGTCTTCACGACTGCTCCTTTCAGAAACAGCACCTCCAACTTCATGACAAACTGCTGCACTGCAATGGCAAGGCTTCCTGACGTGGTTCTCTCAGAATCCAAGCGCCTGGTCAACTGCAGATTTTCCTCTCCAGCATCAGCAAGCATCCCAATGAGCAAAACTGTTTCCTCAGACAGAAGGTCTAAGAATGTCCGAGCTGCGTGGCCAACCTTTTCATTTTTCCTCTCTTCATGGGCAGACTGGGCTGTTCGGATCACAGCATCTAACGTGAGGCAAACTTTAGCAAAGGGCATGCTCCACGAATCGAATCGGTGCTTCGCTGCAGAAAATTTGTCCGAAATCTCATTCCACAAGGGGGTGAACTGCATGGCTCGAACGTTCTGGGCATACATGGACCGCAACACATCGGAGAAATGAATCTGTTGCACAATGCCATCGGTGTCCATGAACACTTTCTTCACAATTTGGTCGAGGACACGGTCGCATTTCCATGTCCGGCTGACAATCCTACGGGCGGCATGGGGCTTGTCTTTGTTGATGACCTTCAAGTTTGGGAACACTTGTGAGAATGTAGCCATGTTCACATCCATAGCTTCAAGCAAGGCAGGACAAGTTCCGGGGCAAGCCTCCAGGAATCTATTATTACCAGATTCAAGGATCTGGCCAGCCAATTGCTCATCTGCAGCTGCGTCTGCGTTGAAGACCTCTGTGATCTCAAAGAGATGGGCCAACAAAGCTTTGTCCATGGAGGTGACATCTTCATTCAGCGACTGGCTCATTTCAAAGGATTCGCTGTGCTTGAATGGTGAGCACAAATCCGCCAACATCAGCAAGACACATTTGGCAATGCCGTGGGAGTCAAAATCTTCAAGCTTTTGGCACCCCACCAAAGCATGAACTTGCCGCAGCTGTGGGCCACAACCTTGCACACGCAAAAGTAGTCTCCCTTTGGAAGCATCCGAGTGCAAAGCCAAACAATTGCAACTCCTCAAGTCCCTGCGAGTTTGAAACCTTAAAGCTTCAGCCAAGCAATACTTAGCTTTGAGCAACCACGTTTCAAAGTTCCGGTGCCTTCAGCCCCTCCTGCTTTACCCTGGCGGACTAAACGCAGAGCTTCCACGAAAGCAGCAACTGGAGGGGCAACAAGGGCCAAGCGAACGTCAGGATCAGAAACTGCTATCCTGTGGCTCTTAGCTCGCTCAGGTTTATCGAAGTGCGCCTTCTGCAACGAGGACACTGTTCGAAACTCAGCGTGGAACTTGCCATGAAGCTTGCATGCCTTACAGTACACACTGTTCACTTCTCCAGCTCGGTTCCTTGTGCAGTGTAGCCAAGGGTACTGTGCCACCCATCTGGGCCCAAGTCTTTTCCATTTCTTGCCAAAGTCTGTCACAGGCTCGATCTGCTCTGGCACGAATTCCTGGCAAATTCAAGAAAAAACAGCATTTGAGACCCATGTTGGCACTGTCCAGAGCTACGGCCGTGATTTGCAAAAACTCCATTCCTCGAACGGAGTTCCTGTCGAGAGGACCTCTGGATCCAGGAAGTCTTCTGAACAGTTGGGGGCGCCCCGGACTGTCCAGAGGAAACTTTTCCATCATTTTTCTTGACTTTTGAAATTTTCAAAAGTCAAGAAATATGAGTGAAAAGTTTCCTCTGGACAGTCCGGGGCGCCCCCAACTGTCCACAAGGCCTCCTGGATCCAGAAGTGCTCTGGACACAGCAGGTCTGCGATTTGTTATTTGGAGTTTTTTTTTCGCACCGTTTTTACTGTTAAACTGTGTTTTGAGGACCTTCTGGGAGGGTCTCTGGACAGTCGGGGGTGCCCCCAACTGTCCAGAGCCGGCTCTGGACAGTCTGGGGCGCCCCCGACTGTCCAGAGGGGCTGGTCCCTGGATTTGGCAACATATTTTTTTAAAACACAATTGATCTGAGCCTCCTCTGTACATTCGATGGGGCGCCCGGCTGTCGAGAGAATCTATTTCTGTCTAACTTTGAGTTTTCCAATTATAACCTGCAAAATCTTTCTCCCCAATTAACACTCGGTCCTGCACGCATTGTTCCACATCCATGTGCTCTGGCAGTAAATCCTCCATGACTTGGGCCTTGTGTCCCTGCAGGCGGTGCAAGCCACCGGCGACCAGTCCAAACAACTGATGTCTACTTGTTTGAAGCAACCAAGCAGCGGCATGGGCACGCATGCACTGTCATAGGACCCCCCAAAGAGAAATTCTCCGACTACCTACTGTCAGTTCTAAGACCTTGCTTGGGAGTGTGCTCAGCTAAATCTCGCGACGCAGAGGCACTATACTTTTCCGAAGGTTCCACAAGGTGGCAATGCACCGCTCTGCAATCATGAATTGGTGATGGTAGCACTAGTTTGCACCACTGAATTATGAATTACGGAGGGCAAGTTCCATGATGCAAGCCACCAATGTAACAGCTCACGAAAAAGGCGGCTCGAATTGCCAGCAGAGCCTAATTTCAGAATTGGTATGGGGCAAGGCACCAAAAACAAAATCAAAGCCAAATTTGAGGAATGGGGCAAGCCACCGAAACCAAATTCAGATGTTGCAAACTTCTCTGTCTATGAGTCTGTGTGACCATCTCCTCAAGCAGCGGCGCTTCATTCCACTGAAGCGGCTGTAGTCGACAAAGTCATGCTTCATGCTCGGCATTGCCCATGGGTCAAAATGTTCGGGGGGCACCTTGCCGACCATTTTCAGCAAATTCAACGCAACCCTGCCGATCACACTGACAGTGAAAGCGTTGCCAAGCATGCCTGCATACTTCTTCTTGCTGACTCCGGCAGGGATCCGTAAATGTCCTCCTGGAAACCCCTGAAGTTCTTCAATTTCATTCAAAGTCATGTGCCGCTGCATGGGTAGCAACATGTGACCTCCAGACTTGCACCGACTGTGCGTCAACGTCGGTGACTTTTCAGGCAGGGCTGTCGCGCCGCGCTTCAAGCTGCACCCGACATCGGCGCACCACACAGCATCCTGTGACGCCTTCAATCCAAACATGTAAGTGCTTACTGTGGCTATTTTTACTCACTCAGTACCTACAAATGCAGAATCGCAATTCTTTCAATCAAGGAAACAACCAGAACAAATTATTAACGACGAGCTAAAAGATGACCAATTTCAGGTAGCCAAAGAAAGAAAAATGATTGAGCCAACACAGGCCTTCGTGGCAGAACACTTCAGAATGAAATCCTGGATCATTTTGGCGACTGACACCAGGTGCTGCTGGACCCTTGCTTTGCCTTTCTCCGTGGTCACGCCGTGGTGTAAGTCAGAGACTTCTGTGCAGTCCAGCAAACTGGACACGCTCCTGCAAGGGATGCGGGCTGGCCACTGCCATTTCATGGAAGGGTCCGCCTTTGCAATTTTCCAGCCAACAATGTAAGTGCGTAGCCGCGCTTGGGGCAAGCCACCTACAACGCTTGTGTCAAGAACCTCAGGAGGCATTGTCATTGTCGTAAAAATGATGAATCAACAGGACAACCAAGAAGCTTAAAAAACAAATCAACAATTAACCAAATAATTTTTGCAATGAACGAGAACCTTGCATTCCACTTGGTACACTTTCTCGCCATTTGCATCTTCGATGGAACGTAGGAAAGCCAAAATGAAATCAAAGAGGAGCTTGAACATCTTGTGCCGCGCTAATGGTTTGACATTCTCCAAGGCAAATGTCAGGGGCTGAATGGTCTCAATCGTCTGCAGAACACGCAGCAGCACATGAGCACGTTTATCGTGCAAGCCATTCTGCAAACCAGCCATGCTGAATGGCTGGCAGGGTGGGCCTGCAGTGTAGAGGTCGATTTCCGCACTGATCTCGGAATCATCCCTTGCCATGATGTTGTTGTTGAAAATCCGAGGCTTGCTGCCAGCATGGGGCAAGCCACCAATGCCCTCGACTGCATAAGCTCCACCAGTCGCATAGCATTTCCCCTCGGATCGAACTGCCTTGCCTTCAACTCGCCCTTTCCTGGCCTGGTGGGTCGCCCGGTGGCCTTCTGGCCAGCCTTGTACTTGGCCACTGCTCTTCTTTTTTTTTTTGTGGGTGTGGTTTTTGCAGTCTTTGCTTTTGGGCCCTGTGCTTGAAATGCTTTGGGTTTGAAACCCAAGAGGCGTGTGGCCCTGTGGCGCCGCTTGAACTGCAGTCTCGGCACCAAGAGGGATGAACCTCTTTTCCTGTCGGCCCTGTGTTTTGCAAGCCCAGCGTGGACAAACTCAGCCTCAGCTTGGGCAAGTTCCAGCTCGTCCATGGCTTGGTCTCCAGACGTGAATGGTCCTGAGATCTCACTTCAAGCCAAATGCCTGCAGTGTTATCATGGAAAGTTGCGAATTAAACAAATAGTCTAGAATCAATTAACACTGCAAGGGAGCCCATGACAACACATGTCTGGCTGAGCCAACTTGTCTCAGTCGGTTTGTCTCTGTATCTGTCCATCACCGACAAACACTGATATATTCGATGGACAACCACTGATAGTCGATGGACCGATGATCTTGACAGACAGACAGGCAGACAGACAGACAGGCAGGCAGGCAGACAGACAGACAGTGAGTGACAGACAGACAGACAGTGACAGACAGACAGACAGTGAGTGACAGACAGACAGACAGTGACAGACAGACAGACAGTGACAGACAGACAGACAGTGAGAGAAAGACAGTGAAAGGCAGACAGTGACAGACAGACAGTGATAAGACAGACAGTGACAGACAGACAGTGACAGACAGACCGTGACAGACAGACAGTGACAGACAGACAGTGACAGACAGACAGACGGACGGACAGACGGACAGACAGACAGACAGCCAGGCAGGCAGACAGACAGACAGTGACAGAGAGACAGACAGTGACAGACAGTGACAGACAGTGACAGACAGTGACAGACAGTGACAGACAGTGACAGACAGTGACAGACAGACAGACAGTGACAGGCAGTGACAGACAGTGACAGGGAGTGACAGACAGTGACAGACAGTGACAGACAGTGACAGACAGTGACAGACAGTGACAGACAGTGACAGGCAGTGACAGACAGTGACAGACAGTGACAGACAGTAACAGACAGTAGCAGACAGTAACAGACAGACAGTAACAGACAGTAAGCGACAGTAAGCGACAGTAAGCGACAGTAACAGACAGTAACAGACAGTAACAGACAGTAACAGACAGTAACAGACAGTAACAGACAGTAAGAGACAGAAACAGACAGTAACAGACAGGAACAGACAGAAACAGACATACAAAACACTGGCCGACACAGGTCTGGCAAACACAGGCAAGCTGGCAGACGCAAACAAACACTTGACTGAAGACGCAGACAAACAACAGACAGACAGACAAACAGACAGACAGACAGACTACCGACAACTGACACGCTGACAAACATTCGCAGGTAAATGCCACACTTTTTGATGATGCTGCTACGTTCCGCCGCCATCACATATCTTTGGTTCTCCTATGCATGTGTCTGTGTACCCGTGAGTGCGCTTGTGCGAAATGATGATTGCAAGCGCCCCTTTCAAAGTCCAGGGACAACCGTCAGGTGCTGTTTTTCGTCAGCACTGCATCATCGCTGGTCTTGCGCAGGGAAGCAAAGTGGGCACCTTTGACATGCCAGCTTTCAACCAAAAACAGTGAAAATTGCACCGACACGCAACAGTAGCGCACGTTGTCACTTCCTTGCCTGGTCCTGGTCCAAATTTCATCAGCCGGGTTTCTCACAATGTGTTGGCAGTCATTGCTGATATGATAAGAAACGCCGTCGCGGGCAACCCACAACCTGTCAGGAAGCGGCTGCTCCTTTGCACACCAGGACCAGCAAGACATGCAAGATCCCATGGTTCAGCTGCCGGGGGATTTCCAAAAGCAGGGGGCAAGCCACCAACAAACTTGAGACTGCAGACTGCAGAGTCGCAAAGGGCTCAATGATCAGATGGGGGCTGGCCAGCTGCCAGTAAGTGAAGTTAAACTGCTTTGTCGGCTTTGAATCACATGATTGTCAGCTGCCACTCAATGAAGTTGAACTGCTTCCACTTTGAATCGCACCATTTTTTGCATTTTGGAATTATCAAGTATGAAATATTACAATTTGATTAATTTAATCTGTAATATGCACACATCTTCCCAATATATATATATATATATTTAAGATGCAGTTTCTGAGGTACTACAAACATGGAAGAATGATCTGCATTTTTTCAAGACAAACCCCTATTTATTAGATACACTTTGGATAAGAAACCTGTTTTTTGTGTAAGGAATTGCTTGTAGGTAATTTTCGATGCAGCAAAGAAGCAAATCGCACAAAAAACTTTAAAAACAGCCTCTCTCCACAATCCAGTTGACGGCCTCTTTGATCTCTTTAAAGGCGAGACAGCCTTTGAGTGGCCCGGGGCCCGAGGTCCAACGGGCCTAGCCTTGGAGGTAGACCCCTCAGGCACACCCTTGACATCCGGAGGTGCAACGGGCGGTCTCGGAGGCTGTCCCGCTGGTTCAGGGGGTGGTCCCTGCATTCTCATCGTCCTCTCCAACTGGGCCTGAAGCCCCGGGGGGGCTGCCTTGAACTTCGCACTTACAGTTGGACGGGGCTGCTTGGCAGACGGGCGAGCTTTGGGCGGCGGGGGTGGCGGAAACTCCTGAGCTATTGGGTGATCAGCCCGAACGGACGTTGAAACTCTGAAAAAAAACAATTATGGGTCAAAAATTAAAACGGCCGTGACTTAACTAACCACGACGAAGTGGCCAGCACCAAACGTCCGTGCAAATACTCAAACGATTGTAGTGCTGTTTGGCAGTAATCCCCCATCGTTCGATCAACGCTGTGAATGTTGACGATGCCCATTTTGAGCGCCATCTGAACTTCCCTTAGTTAGATGGTTGGTCTCAGCTTTAATATAGCTGGGCATGTTAAAAACACTGTTGGGGGTCCCAAACATTTTTGTTGCATCCATGTCTCTTGACATGCTCCTTGTCCTCTTCCCAACGCCCTTTGGCCATCAATAATCCAAGCATATAGATGTCCGTTGTCCAGCTCGCGCCCTCGTTGTTCAGCGAGGGCATCGCCAGAACGGGCGTTGTATCACAGTAGGCCTGTCAGAGTCAGACAGGTCAGGGACGTGACCAAAAGAACTGACAAAACATTCAAAACTGACAAAACAAATGAATCGTCATGATTTTACTGAATGCTAAGTGGTGATTAGGGAGTGTTTATGACCATGCTTTACCCAACATGAATCAACATGACTCATTGCCAGCCCCACGACATAAATAAATCCAAGCCCATGCAAATAAGTGAACATAACCCGTAATATCTACAGGAATTGTTTTAAAAATCAGAAAACACCTGCTGGGGGTAGTCTTAAAGCCCAGTAAAAGGAAGGTAAACCCAGGCTAGGTATTTGGAAGATCTTAGATGGCATTCACCCAATCAACCATCAACCGTGGGTTTGAAATTTAGTTTCGCACTGGTTAATTAGTCTACTATTAGTCCTGGTGACACCCCGTCATTAAACAAGAAACAGGCATATGATATCTAAATATAACTTGCCTCTATTAAAACGTTTGTATCGAATTTCATGAAGACTCCTTGCCTGGAGCGCACCGTAGATCAGCATGGAAACGGCCGGTGCTCGGTGAAAGTTCGACTTGCAGTTCACCATGATGATGTCAACCGGCTTTTTCAAGCAGTCCACAAGGATCCCCTGGCAAATGGCCAATCCCATGCCACGAAACATTGGTGGCATGGGATTGGGGTGAAACAGGGCTTTGACACCCTCATCAAATTAGATCCGTCACTGCTATTAAAGACTCTTGCCAAGAGTCCTTCAAACGGGCGTGTTTGTAGATCTCCGACTGCTGCTGCTGATCCGTGCCACAGATGTGCCTCCACTCCCGGTCGTGCTCCGGGTTCCTGTGCGCAGAGCCCAGGACAACTTTGACTTAAGCTGAATTGAATGGGCGTTCACAAAACTGACAAACAGCTTGGAATTAAACAGAAGTTCGCAAAATGATAAACAACTTTGACTTAAAACGGTCGGTCTTCCACAAAATTCAAAATGACAACAGATTTGACAGGCATTGACAAAATTGACAAACAGCTTTGACTCAAAACGGGCGTTCAGGGCCTTAGCTCCAGGGCCAAATTGATCCACTGGACCCTCATTTGAGGGAATGCAGAAGGAACGTCCGTTGGGCACGTGACCTCCACGCCGTTGTTGACCATGACCTGGACACTGAATTATCAATAATTGCATGTCTAATGACATGGCAGTGTGATTGATGCCAAAACCCCTTTATCAGTCAAGCCAGGGAGCGGAGGCTCTCCTGAGGGGAAACTTCGGGTCGGCAGCCCACGAAATTATCACCTGAGCTCAGTGCCGCAAAAAAAGTCAGTCCCAAATAAATTCAACCCATTTGTCAAAATTCAAGTTATGCTAATTTTAAACAGATTCTGGCGACAAGGGGCCACCCTCTTTGGCCACACACCGTTGACAAGCACTTCAACGTCCGGTAGTGCCACGGCGCGGCTGCCACGGGAAGAAGAAGAAGCGGCCATTGCAGGAGGAACCAACGTGCGTCAACGGGCGTTTGGTGTGGTTCAGTCAAAGTCAAAGTGAGTCTGAGATGGCACGTATGTTTGAAACTGAATGTCAATTACAAATCCTCAGTGTTTCTGTCTGTGGCAGTTCACTATTGAAGAATAACGTCCGTCCATAATTATAGTAGTCTATTTTTTTTATCATGTCTGTCTACAATTCTGTTC